CAACTACTGACGAGTTCGTCATGGCGTACGCAAAAAGAACTCCTGAAGAGATCCTCAAAGTACGTTATATAAATATATTCATATATTTACAATTTCTTTTATTGCTCATATATATAAGTAATCACGTGACCAACACACACACATATATATATATATATACTTTTCCTTTAACTTTTATTGAAGACTTTATGGTTGAAGGAAAAAGTCATACGACATGACCAACTGAAAGCAATTTAAGAGACCATAGCAGGATTTTTTAATGACTAGGTCTTAAACCCCGCCGACGAGTTCTACAATGGCGTGAACGAAACATGGAAGTCAAACCAGATGGAGTGAATTTGTTATCTCAAGGATATGATAGAATATACAATGCAAGCTTTATTTGTAATATATATATATATATATTATATGTACATAAAATAACGTACAATATATGTATATGCATGTAATATATATGTTAGTTTCATACTTTAGTTTGTACAAAATGTTCGAACATTATAAGCGTGTAGAATACGTATATTATTAGCAGCGTAGAATGCGTATTCGAAAACCAAAACGAATCATCACTTGAAAATAGAAACAAAAAATAAAGAAAAAAAAGAAAAACTTTAGTCCCGGTTGGTACCAACCATGACTAAAGGGCTGCCCCACGTGGCTAGACCGGGAGGCCTCTTTAGCCCCGGTTGGTATTACCAACCGGGACTTAGTCCCGGGCGAGAAACCAGGACTAAAGGAGGGGCCTTTTAGTCCCGCATTCATGTTTCCGGTTGGAAAACCGGGACTGAAGGGGTTTCCCAACCCGAAGTACAGCTCGTTTTTGTACTAGTGTCGGAATGCACAGTACACAGGCGGCGGTGTCGTGCACTGGAGATCTGTGCATTAGCACGGCTGTTTGGTTGCACTGCAAGCTGCAATTCCATGCACGAGGTCTATGTCTAGCACAGTAAGGAACTCCAGGAAGCAAAGCAAGCGAAGAGACGCCACAGTACTGCCAGTAGCCCAGTACGAGTGACAGACGTTACAGTCTACTTACAGAGTACTACAGGGGCAAACAAACAAAAAAAAGTGTGTTCTCCTTTAGAAGATTTAGGCTGGCCCAAATAGTAATTCTAAATAAATCATAAAGGCCCACTCACACACGCATAGTATAATAGAGACTTTAGTCCCACGTTACTGCTCTAGGAGTGAGGCTAACTTAAACAGTTGATTTATCTCCAACTAGTTGAAGCTATTAGGGAGATTAGGGAGAGGAAAAGGAAGAAACACATGCGCATGCTTGCCTTGCCTCGGGGCGGGGCAATGAGGTGGGCGCGTGACATGAGTGTGAATGGTCCGACGATTTCTCGCTTCGACCTTGCGGGTGCGTGGCTTCCTTTTGCTATTCTATATTTTTGCATGCACGCAGAAAATTGTGCTGGCCTATTTTGGCAAGCAATTATCTTGTATTAGTGGTGTTGCTCTAATTGTCCCTAGTCCACTAACGACAGGACAATCTCCTTAATGCTGTGATTACGTGGCTAATTACTTACCATATCTAGACGCGTGTATATATTAGGAGGAGAGTCATCCTCAGTACCGACAATTTTATCTCCTTTTTACCATTGTGCTGTGCCGCCGCCGTCTTCCCTATCCCGTCGCTGACGTGTCATCGGCACCGGGAGAGCAGGTCTCTGAAGCCTACGTCTCCTTGTGTCCCTGCACGGGGTAGGGGACGTATCAGGTTTTTGGAAAGCGTTGTCACGACTGCTCACTGAACGTCTTCTTTCCTCTACGCTGATGTTTGTGGATCTCCATCAACGGTCTATTTTGTCTACTTTTGCGCTATCTCTAGCGCCGACAACCTCACTGTAAGAATGTATACAGTTTCGCTGTTATTCGTTCTTGTGTTTCTTCTATTACTAGCACTAGAGAGTTTGAGTGCCTCGAATCGTAGTGCTAGTGTTAAATCGCACACCTATGATATATGCTGTTGTTCTTTTCCTCGATATCGAAATTTTATTTTATGTGTCATAAATTGCTATTATTCTTCCGAGCTCTTTGACAGTACAGAGTACGTACTACGGAAATCCTGTCTGCAGTCCTGTGACTTCCGAGCTCGTCTGGTTTAGGGATGGCAACGGGGCGGATTCGGATCGGGTGGAGTCTCTGTGCACCCGAACCCGAAATCGAAACCCAAAACCGCACCGAACGTCGATTCGGGTGATAATCCGTCTCCAAAACCGAACCCGCGGATACCCAAAACACGAATGGATACCCAAAGCCCGCTTTGTATGACAACATAGTAAGAGAAATAAAGACTTTCTATAAACATATGCATGATATATATATACACATATTCACATGTATAAAAAAGAGGCAACAAATAATAAATATTTTTATGAGTCAACTTCGAATAAATTTAATAATATAAGTAAACAAGTTATTATTAGCATATTATAAAATATGAGTTTTAATTCCAAATGATTTATTTCGGATATCCATTGGATATCCACGGGTGGGAAACCGAACCTGAAACCGAACCCGATTGGTTTCGGGGCCCCGAACCCGAAAACCGTGGGTGAGAAATCATCCCCGAACCCGATCCCGCAAGACCCGAAACCCGCGTATATCCAACCCGAAACCGCCCCGTTTCCATCCTTGGTCTGGTTTGCGATGAAATCAAGCAGGGATTTATTAGTTTTGCCAACTTAATTGCACGGCCTTTTTGGATTGATTCATTGGCGGAACCAGGGGGGCTAGCAGGGGCCGTGCCCCCCCCCCCCACCCCCCAACCAAAACAGCGTGAAAATGATTAGTACCTATAAACAATTCAATTGCATAGTTAAAAATTATTATTTCACCATTTTTAATGCAAATAGTGTTTTTTCGCTATGAGTACTAAATATATATGTAGAATGTTAAAAAGTTATTGAGATATACACTTGTCGTATGTATTTTCCATATTTACGAGGTGTCATCGTACTGTCCGACCTCCTATCAAAAGTCCGGTTCCGCCACTTGATTTTTTTGACCGAATCAGCAGGGGAGCCTCCTACCTATATTTTTTTCTTTTCTATTGAATGAAAGAATCATGTTTACAGCAATGTACAAAAATACAAGGCATGTATGCCCAAAGTAAGAAAAGCCCGAAGGCAAGCTAAGACATGTAGCTATCTCTCCATAATTTCAGGGGTGTTTCAATCACTGTCTTGGCTTTAGTACACACTTGGCCAAGTTCCTCCTTGAAGTTTCTTTTCCATCTACCAAGATCAACGTGCTCATTGTCAAAGATGATTGCATTTCGTGCTTTCCAAATTACCCAACAGGCTGTAATGAAAATCTCTCTAAATATTGAGTTTCCAAAGTTTGTCTTAGCTACTATCACCATGTGCAGAGGGGGAAGATTCAGGTCCCAGCTTATTGGTATGGTGCTCCAACAGGCCTGACTAAAGTTGCATTCAAAAAAGAGATGGAAGCTGGTTTCTTCGACTCCTGCATTCCACAGTACACATGTATAATCATCTAGTTCCATGTTTTTTCTCCTCAAAATGTTTCTTGTATTCAGCCTATCTCTCAGTAATAACCAAAAGAAAAATTTATGTTTCCTAGATTACTGGACGCCCAGAGCCACCTGAAGAGGGGGGAGGCTTCTGTGTTCCGAAGAGTTTCAGGTAAGCTTTTTTTTGCTGCTGAACCCTGAAGATCCCCAGTTGTATGTCCATTTGTCAAACACATTCTCATCAAAGAGCCTATCTGACAGGAGAGTATGGATCTCATCTAATTGAGATGCAGCCTGTGTGGACAATGGGAGTCTGAAGAGTCTGTCAGGTTCCTGTTCTAGGAAATATTGAATAGAGCATTTGGGTTTAATAGTGTAAGAGAACAGCTGGGGGTATCTGACTCTGAAAGCTTGGCCTGCCCAATTTCCTGACCAAAAGAGTTCTGTGTTTCCTCTGCTTCCGCCACTGGATTGATCGATGCCCAAAAGAAGTTCTTTCTGTTGACCGTGTTGGGTTTAGGTTGCCACGGGTTTATGCGGGCATTCTTGCTTCGTGGCTTTTGAGTGTTCGGGCAGTGCAGGCCACTTGTAGGGGTACGTATGTGTTCTGTGCTCGCCCTGCATCCGAGCCTAGCCGCCAGGCGCTAACGACAACCCTGGCAGTGTGGCTGGCACGACCAGGAATTCGCCATGCTAAGCATGCCTGACGAGCACGAATCTAGCAAAAGAAAACCACGCATTTTTCCTGCTTTTCTGGGCTCCCCCGTCGCAGCATGGTGCGCGAGCCTTGAAGCTGGAGCTGCGTGAACCGATAACAATAATGCCGCCATGGTTTCTCTCATCTCGATCGTTCGCAATGTGGACCGACTTGACCGATGACACTGCACCGCGCAAAGTGGCAACAGCAGGGTTTTCAAACCGGCGGTCAGAGGAGGCAAGGCGAGCGAGCGCGACAGGCGTGCGTCGCGGTCCTGCCCCGCGCGCGCGTACGTGTCGCCGGCCGGTTGGGTTCGCCAGGGACAATCAATCAGGAGGCGAGGCCAATCTTGGCTGGGCACGGTCACGCTCTCAGATCAGCCTCTCACAGATGGCCCTGCTTCCCTCCCCGAGCGAGCGTGCTTCCCTCTCACGGACGGTATACCACATAAAACAACTGGATTTTTCTAAAATAATATTTTTAATGATTAAATGCAAATATATAAGCTGTTATACAAGAATTTGACACATAGCAGCGTGTCAGCCGTTCAATGGGCGGTAGGGGACCAGTCGGCTTCTGAGTAGCTGATAGGTTTATATACTTGGCGTCCTGTCTGCTGCAGTGCCGATAGCACTAGTCAGACCGTGGAATGCCGACAGGTCCTATCCATCTTCCTGTGCGTGCGCCCATGCGGCACGCCTCCCCGTACTTGTACGCCGTCTTTGAGCGCCTCGTCCAGGAGCACTTCCCATTCCGGCGCCGCCTCTTCCAGGTGCACGCGCTGCTCCTCACCTCCGGCGTGCTGCTCCTTGACATTGACCCCCGATGCTCCTCCCCTCCGCCGCCTTTCCTTACAACTGCCTCGCGCACGCGCACCTCCGCGTCCCTGCCGCCGCCTCCTCGCGCGCCCCGTCCGCACCGCTGCGCCTCTTCTACGCCATGCTCGCCCGCGACGGGCGCCCCAACCGCCACTCCTTCTCGTCCCTCCTCAAGTCCGCCTCCGCCTCAGGCTCGGTGGCCGCCGTGGGGGCGCTCCACGCATAGGGCCTCCGCCGCGGCCTTGCGGCCGACCGCTTCGTCGCCTGTTGGCTCGTCAGCGCCCACGGCCGAACAGGACACCGGGCTCGCGACGCGCGCAAGGTGTTCTACAAGATGGAGGGGGCTCCGGACCTGGCCTCTTGCAACGCCCTGCTCCACGCGCTATGCCACGCCGGGGACCTGTACGCTGCGGGGGACTTCTTTGAGCGGATGGCGGTGAGGGACCCTGTGTCGTGGACGACGCTCGTGTCTGGGCTGTCGCGGGGTGGACGCCACCGGTTCGCTCTCCAGGTGTTCAGGAGATTTTTGCTGTGTAACATGGGGCGACGGCTCGAGGAGCCTACGTTGGTCTGCGTGCTCTCAGCCTGTGCCAACCTTGATGGTGTTGAGGGGCTCACGGAGGGCATGGCCGTCCATGCATACCTTGTCCGCCATGAGGTTGAGCTCACTGCGTTCCTTGGCACTGCCCTGGTTGACATGTATGGGAGGCTTGGCTGCTCTAGGAGTGCTTTTGAGGTCGTTTGCAACGAGTTTTTCACGTGGAATGCGCTGTTTTTCACGTGGAATTCCATGCACTAGCACAGTAAGGAACTCCAGGAAGCAAAGCAAGCGAAGAGACGCCACAGTACTCCGCCACAGTACTGCCAGTAGCCCAGTACGAGTGACAGACGTTACAGTCTACTTACAGAGTACTACAGGGGCAAACAAACAAAAAAAAGTGTGTTCTCCTTAGAAGATTTAGGCTGACCCAAATAGTAATTCTAAATAAATCTTAAAGGCCCACTCACACATGCATAGTCCCACGTTACTACTCTAGGAGTTAGGCTAACTTAAACAGTTGATTTATCTTCATCTAGTTGAAGCTATTAGGGAGATTAGGAGAGGAAAAGGAAGAAACACATGCGCGTGCTTGCCTTGCCTCGGGGCGGGGCAATGAGGTGGGCGCGTGACATGAGTGTGAATGGTCTGACGATTTATCGCTTCGACCTTGCGGGTGCGCGGCTTCCTTTTGCTATTCTATATTTTTGCCACACATTTTTCCTGCTTTTCTGGGCTCCCCCATCGCTGCATGGCGCGCGAGCCTTGAAGCTGGAGCTGCGTGAACAGATAACAATAATGCCGCCACGGTTTCTCTCATCTCGATTGTTCGCAACATGGACCGACTTGACTGATGGACACTGCACCGCGCAAAGTGGCAGCAGCAGGGTGTTGAAACCGGCGGTTAGAGGAGGCAAGGCCAATCTTGGCTGGGCATGGTCATGCTCTCAGATCAGCCTCTCACCGACGGCCCTGCTTCCCTCTCACGGACGGTAGACCACACCGACGTGGTGCTCCTTCGTTTTCTCATCACATGACGTTGTTAAAAAAAACAGAAAACTGATGGCCATGGGCTTCTCTCTCGTCTCGGTTTTGAGCTGTGTAGGAAAACCCACCAACGGTCCAGAACTCCAAAGCCTTCCCAACTGTTCTGATCTGCTTTGACATCAATCTTGCCTGACTAGACCAGCCCCCTTCACTGGCCCAAGTTTCCGACATGTAAATGGCCTTGTCCATAAACTCAGTATTCCTAGGCCTTACCAGTGGCCAAGACCATTTCAGCTTAAAGCCCAGAAAGTAAACGCTGCCACTTGGTAATATAAAACCGACCGGATTTTAGCTAAAAAGCTGACCAAACATGTACTGTAAAGCTCATTTAATTCAGTTACCTGTTGCAATTCGCGAGCTTTCACGTGACACTTTGTGAGGAAAATGGACCCTAGGCCCATTTACTTTGGATTTTGGTGTTTGATGACCAACACAACTAAGTTGGACTAATGAATTTGTAAGCGATTGTTTTATAGTTCAATAGGGTGCAAGACGTGACTTGGACGAAGGCGACGTGATGATCTGATGATCAACACCATAAGCAAGACCCTAGGAGCACAAGAGAAGACCCAAGATATCAAGCAAAGTCCAAGCATGAAGATAGAAACCAAGCCGGACACAAGATCGCGAAGATACGAGCTCACAGAGGTGACCAGACGCTGGAAGGCGATTGACCGGACGCTCCGATCAGTGACTCGACTACAGCAGGCGTCAGCAGCAGCGACCGGACGCTGGCGGCAAATCGACCGGACGTAGGACTACAGCGTCCAATCAAGTACAGAAAGGTTCTAGAGCGGCGAAATTGCGACCGGACGCTGGCAGCGTCCGATCAGTTGATCGTGGCTCTAACAGTCGGGACGACCGGACGCGTCCGATCAGGACGACCTGAGCGTCCGGTCAGTAGCAGAAAAGCGGGATTTCATCCCCAACGACTACTTTCTCAATGGAGCTTATAAATAGACCCCCAAAACGGCCATTTGAAAGTGGTGGAGCTGAGGAAACATATCAAGGGTGTTGATACACCATTTTAGTGATCTCCACTTGCATAGTGCTTAGTGATTCATTAAGTGATTAGCGTAGGTGCTTTACAAAGTGCTTAGGTTGATTAGATCACCGCTCATGCGCTTGTTCTAGGTTTAGGCCTAGTGTTTAGTGAGGTTTGCATACCTCTTACCACTCGGTGCTTGCGCACACCATTGTTGTACATCGGAGGGGCTTGTAGTCTTGCGAGATCACACCAACCGCGTTTGTGGTGTGGCTGCCATCGTGTACCGGAGGGAACAAGGCCCGCGGCGTTTCGACCGGAAGCTTGATAGTGAAGACGGCAGGGAGCATTCGGGAGAGGCTTGCCAGAAGGCACGTCGGAGACCCACATGCGCATGGGGAAGTCCCGAGGCTATCCACGGAGTTACCCAATCGGAAGCTTGGCCCTTGTGAGGGATTCCTTGCGAGGGGCTCCAACGAGGACTAGGGGGAAGCTTGCGCGCTTCTCGATACCTTAGAAAAAATATCGAAGTCGTCGATGGGAGTTTGCATATCTCTACCTTGCTCTTTAGCTTCCGCATTTACCTTGTTTATATTACTCCTTTGCGGTAGAGATAACAACACACTAGCAAAACCGTAGTTGCACATTTAGATAGTTTACCTTTTGCATAGGTTTTGCCAAGGTTAGAAAAAGAGGCCATAATTTAGAAGTAGAATTTTAAGTTGCCTAATTCACCCACCCTCTTAGGCGTCACGGTCCCCAACAAGTGGTATCAGAGCCTGGTTGGCTCAATTTGGACCATTGGCTTAACCGCCGTTGAGCCGACGCTATTTAGAGTGGTTGGGATGGATACCTCTAGGCCTTCATACTTTGACGGCAGTAACTTCCCTTACTATAAAGCTAGAAAGGCTTGTCAACTTGAGGCGGTTGATTTGGGTGTTTGGAGAGTCACTCGTGACGTGATGAAACCCACTAAGAATCCCGGTAAACCCACAAAGAGTGAAGAAAAGTAAATGCATTTCAATGCTAGAGCTAAAAATTGCTTGTTTGAATTATTTAGTATGGATGTGTTTAACCAAGTGTTCACTTTAAATATGGCACATGAAATTTGGTTAAAACTTCAAGAGCTCCATGACGGCACATCTAATGTCCGTGAGCAAAAACATTGTCTAGCTAAACAAAATTATGATTCCTTTACAATGAATGATGATGAACTTGTTCGTGATATGTATTCTCGTTTAAATCTAATTATCAATGAGCTCCATTCAATAGGATTAACAAAGCTAGATGATGCGGACATCATAAGGAAGATCATCTCTGTGCTACCACAAAAGAAATATGAAAGTATCATCACCATCCTTCACAACATGGAGGACTTGAGCACCATGACCCCGGGCATAATCATTGGCAAGATAGTGGCATTTGAAATGTCACGTAAGATGGGTCAAGAAGAAGCCTCTTCATCAAGCAAAGGCAAAGCTCTCGCATGTAGCGAGAAAAAGAAGATGAAGGGCAAGCAAGTTGAGACAAGCTCAAGCTCAAGCTCCTCAAGTGATGAAGAAGAAGATGAGTATGATGATGATGATTCAAGTGATGATGATCAATCTTCCTCCTCCACCTCCGACCTTGATGAAGAATCAATCAAACTCATCAACAAGGTGGAGAAGATGATCCAAAGGCTCAATATCAAGGGTGTGCCCATCCAAATTCAAGATCTCATTTTCACCAATCAAAGAAATGAGCAAAGAAAGAGAGGATGCTATGGATGCGGCGAGTTGGGGCACTTTGTGGAAGTTTGTCCAAACAAGCCCACACCCAAGACAAAGAAGAAGGCATGCAAAAACCAAGCCCTCACATCAATAAAGTCATAGGATGATTCTTCAAGTGAAGAAGAACACCACACAAGAGGCGAGGCCGCAAGCACTCATCATCAAGCTCTTCTCGAGTGTGCCTTATGGCACGAGGTAACAAAAGCTCATCCTCTAGTGAGAGTGATAGTGATGATGAAATGCCTTCTTATGATAAAATTGTGCAACAAAATCTTAATTATGCTAAAGTTTGCACTAGTCAACAAAAGAAGCTCGAAAAATTAAAAAAAAAGGTAGATAGTTCACAAGAAGCATATAAAACTTTGCTTGAACAATATGAGACATTTGCTAATCTCAATATTGAACTATCTACTAAAATTGAGCAACTTGAGGCTAGTGCAACAACAAATGCATGCACAATCAATGATGAACAACTTGTAAAGAAAAATAAAAAATTTAAAGAAAAGTTAGCTAGCTTACAAGATGCTTATAAAAGTTTGCTTGCTAAAATGGAAACCATGTGCAAACATTGTGATGAGCCGAATAAAGTTGCTAATCTTGAAGCCATTAGTACAACCCCCACCAAGGCATCTAAAAAGAAAAGTTATATCTTTAACACGTCTAAAAATGATGCCTCTACTTCTTGTAATGATTTATGTTTAGACTCATCTTTGTGCAACCAAGTTTGTGTTGAGAAAGTTGTTGTAGATACATGCACATGAGAGGTTGCGAAGGAGAATGAGCAACTCAAGCAAGAAGTAGCTTGCCTCACCAAGGACTTGACTCAAGTGAAAGGCATGGCGAAGCAAGCCCAACTTCATCAAGATAACACCGTCAAGGGAGTGAAG